AGGTAAAGAGATGCAGATGCGACCTCATCTAACAGTGCAAAACTTACTTTGAATAAAACTAACTGGATAAAACCCTAGAGCAAACCAAAATAAAATATAGCTCTTCAAAAAAGAATTGATTGGGGATCAAAGGGAAAGGCCATCAAAACTTCCCAAGCTACAATGTTTCTGCATGTCTGAAAAAGAATTAAATCAGAACAAATAGAGAAAATAATAGCAAGTCTGTGTTAAGCCAACAACAAAGAAATCCTTAATACTGTAAAACAAAGTCATGTCAAATCTCCTATTTTTAGAGATACATGAAGCTCCTTTCTCAACGCTTTAAAATGTATTTATAGTAACTAAAATGAAGACTTAAGATAAAAGTCAAAGGGATTATCATCAATGGTCTAGCTACACAAACCAATTTTTTTGTTTCAGCTGTGGTCTTCAAATACGAAGACATAATGCTAAAATAGTTCCATAGCATTATACGATCTATTTCAACTGCACTATCTTAGCAGAGCAGATGAAGCTCAATCAGCTTTTGGACAGCTAGTCACATTAAACACTAACACATAAGCTAACAATTCCAGTGGGCTTTTGTTGTTTTTTCATGCCTTGTTTTTGTTTGTTTTATTTTCCCCAGCATCCATTTCTTAATTAATTAGCATAATTTTCTTAAAGTTTACACCAGCAGCAGAACAACTGTTAATTAAAAGCTGGATCCTGTCAGGAGACTAGTACAAAAAATTCAAGAATTAAGGCATGAATATTACTCACCCAACATCCACACATCAGCTGAATCACGGGAGTGCTCTATAGCACCAATAAAGTACATACAAACAAACGTAACATAAGAAAACCTTTCTTTCAGAACAAAATTTAGAAAAGAGAAAGCAAAAACACTGGAGAAGAAATCAAGCAAGCAAGACATAAATAACCCAACAAATGCTACAGTTCTCATTGTTCGGTTTTCCTTCTGTGTTATTGTTAAATAGTGGTTGTAACTCAAGTGTAGGGTTTCAAAATGCCATGTATAGGAAAGATAAGAAAGCAATAATAAGGACAAGCTATGCATAAAACAAATCCTTTTTAAATGTTACCATAAAATGTTACTACCACCCTTTGTAGACATCCTACACTTCAAACATATGTTGAGCTCCGCATTCGTGAGGCAGGCAGCCTGAACTCATTTTGTTCAGGCTTCTGCTTTTCTAGACCACAGTACCAAGGCAGGTCCAGCAGTCAAAACCGATGATACAAGTCGTGCTATTGCTACACAGTATCCCTGGACACACTTTGTTCTCAGCAATTTTTATTTTGATATTTCTTACACTGTATCCTATGGTTAAACTGTTGAGGGACAATTAGGTATCTGAAGTCTTTCAGAAGGCATTGAGAGTTCTTGTGAGCTTAACAGCTAAAATTAAACAGACAGAAGTTTTTTCAACTGACTGGAATTATTTCAAATTGCTTGAACTCGTCAAGTGCATGGTGCTGTTCAGATTTTGTGAAGATCCATGTATGACTAGAAAATAACAACAGTTTAATCACATGGGGATCAACAGAAAGACAGAGGATGTCCTCCTCCCTTTAAAAGTTTTCTTTTGGTCTTGTTCTTTTAAGTGTAGCATCTTAGTCCTCCTGACACAAAAAGCAACAAAACTACCTACCTACCAAAATAAATAAATGGAGTGGAGATAACGCCCAGGTTGTGCACAACCATCGCTGAGCTTTCTACAAGTACCCAAGAGTTGACATATTGGGTCTACAACAAAGCTTCGCCCTTTGGCAGATTGCAAAGACAGGTTGCAATTTTGTCCATAAAAATGCATGTTGTACAAAACGGGTTCTGTAACACGAACTGTCAGTGGTATGCCACCATTCCACTGATCCTGCACATGCGTTCATTTCTCTGGAATGCTTGTAAGCTGGGTTATGCTTGCCTTAAGATAAGCAGACTTGCATGAGAAAAAAAAAAAACAAAAAAAAACACCACAAAGTGTCACATAGAAATGTTCAACTCTCTGCAGGAAGCTTCTTCCACAAAACACAAGTTCCAATACAGTGCATTCCAACGGCTCCTGTTTTACTGCTTATATCACAAACGTGGTATTTACAACAAGAGCTGAATATAATGGGAGTCCCCTCCTGCTTCAGTTTTAAAAAAATCAAGCATCTTGAAAAAGCCCTGCATTGCAGAAACTTGAGTTTTCAAAGACTTTTTAATCAAATAGAAGAAATAGAAATGCAACACTGCCTGCCATTGTGAAGCCTCAACACTTAGGCTTACACATTACAATGTATTTTAAGACTGTCATGTAATATATTTTTCTGAAGCACTTCTCTTTCTTTCATTGTGAATGTGGGAAATGGAGAGCTGTGTAATGATTTCAGGCTTGAGTCCAGTTTTTGTACTCCTTTTTATCCATGACAACTATTACATGGTGAATTATGAGTTTCAATATAGATTGAATAGAGACATGACCATATCCATTTCTTTCATAATTACTGTGAGAGAAATAGTAATAGAGAGTGAATGAGGCAAAAGTGTAGCCACAGAAGGAAGATGATTTTATGACTAAGAGGCAGGACTACTACAGAGACACTGTTGGTATGATAACTGCCTCTCCCACAGATTTCCTGTGCAGCTTCGAGTAAGGTACTTAATCTCTCCATGCCTCAACTCTGCGCGGTTAAAGCAGGAGTCAAAATGCTTAACTTTGTAGAGATGTCACAGAAACATTTGTGTTTGAGAAGCTACTGGACATTGCTAACAATAGCTATATGTGGATGCTTGAAACGTAGGAGAAAAATATATTTTAGCATTGATTTTGAAAGGTTTACAGAAAATGAAGCACAGCACCTCACATCAAACAAAGAAAATAAAATGAACAAAACCAGCAGCTCCTATGATTGTATCTGAAGTACTAGGAAATCTACCATGCAAGTACATCATTTTAAGCTCAGACTGTAATAGATAGACATGCACAACAGAGCAAAAAAGCAATGCCAGTAGTGTTACCTTTCTCCTTTTATATGTTTGAGCACTTAGTTTTGAAAGCTCAATATTGGAATAACGTTACAGGTTTCTATAGAAAATATAACACACGTTTCCATACATCTACTCCGTATTAATTCAATCTCTTGTTTCTAAAAATAATTCAGTACTATACAATTTTACATCATATTGATCTAGGTAGCTCATGAGTCATTTTCTGTGAGCAGGTATCAATCACTTCATTGTTTACTTGCTGTTGGAAAGAAATTGATTTAATCAAACCTCGCAGTAATACATTATTGATGCATCCCAAGAAAACGAAGTTGTAATGAACCATCAGGGTCCTAACATAAAACACTGTAAGGAGTGGCAATTTTAGCTTCAATCTTTCATTGTGATTTGCAGAGGCACGTCACTGTACTGCTAAAGCTTTGTGCAGGACGACGGTCAGTCTGAGCAGTTCTATGCATTGCTCACATAACAGACTCGGGACAAGTTTTCTGTAACTCAGCAAACCCCAGGAGCCTAGACAAAGCCACACAGAGGATCTCATACACCTCTACCACTTACTCACAGCAAAGTATCGTTTTTACTGGATTTTAGCAAATAATGACCCTTCAGGGGGGAGTGTTAGGTGATAGGACAGCATGAAAATAGGAGAGCGCCTTAAGTCCTTCTCCTCAGCGCAGGCTCAGCCTTTGTTCTCCAGAGGCTCTTAAACTTTTCCACATACTGGACCACATGGGAATAGCAATTTTAACAAATACACATTAAAATTCCTTTATGTACATTTGTCAAACAAAAGACAGCTTACAGTAGCGACTGCAGCCACCACTTGAAAGAGGAAAGTTAGAAAAGCATTTGGTGGAATTTACAGACTTTCAAATGCAAGCTGCCTGTTTAAAGCTTGAAAAAACAAGCGCTATAGCAACACCCACTGCTACCAGTACTTAGCAAATAGTGTTTTCACTGTGGTTAAACTTTTCTTACAAATCTGAGAAACTAGGAAAAGGTGACACTGTATCAGAACACGTTCGCTGAAGCTGAGATACTACAAGATGTTGTAGAATGCAGAATGAACCGCACCAGAGTTTAGCACTGACCAAGCACATGAGAACACCTATGTACAGCTCGCGGAGACATCTATAGGTAATGTCTGTCTAACACCCTATAATTATTTACATAGGAGAGGAAGGCTGAACTTCTTACGTAGGAATTCATACAAGGCGAAAAACATTTTTACAAGGAATGCCTCGTGGAGTGTAACTAATAGAAATATGACATCAATATCCGTCACCAAAAATAAATGCACCATAACCACAGAGATGTTACATAGGGAATTATATCAGAGATGGATAAAATAGAAAGTTGACATGGATATGAAAAAAGAAAAAAGAAAGAAAAAAGAAAAAGAAAAAAGCAATATAACCAGCGATGTATCTTCCCTGCTTTGTCATCTTTCTAGGCACTGAACTGAAGCTCAGTCAGACACAAGTTTGCAGAAGACACACAGAAACACATACAACCACACACGCTGTACTGCACAGACTGTTGTAAAATTCCTAGAACAGAGAGAGCCCATGCACACTCGGAAACTGAAAACAACATCAACAGTGTATTCTATTACACTTAGCGAACAGTAATACAGAACCGTGAAAATAGATACAGTAGGTAAGAGGAGACGGTTTCCTAATGAAGTGGGAATTGAGCAGGTCTCCAGAGCGCCCGTGGGTTTGATTGCCCTGGATATTTCCTGGCTCAGTTAAGAAAGTAGAGAGGGTGGAGGGAAACCGGGATGAGAGTTCTGTGTGATGCCCTTGCCCCTCACCCCTGCCCTCCTGCTCACGCTAACGGGATGAGGAAGCAATTCCCAGATATTTCACTTTTCTCTGTAATCAAACAGGGTATTCTTGGGATATCTGATGCGCGAACTCAGAGAGACAAAAACAACCCCTGGATATTTACACGTACACGCAGACGCGAAAGAAGAAAAGAATAGGCATTTCCTCACGCGTACATTGCCGAAGGGACGCGACTATTTCTCCTCTCCAGACGGGGACAGGAGGAGAGCAGAGGGCCGGACGGGCTCAGCCTCGCACAGCCCGGCAGGAGCCGCGCACCCACTGCCGTCCGCCTCCGCACGGGCAGTGCCTCCCTCGAGCCCTCGCAGCCCCACCGGCAGCCCCACGGCCGAACACACCGCCTCACGTTCACACGCTCCCTTGCACGCCCCCTCCTTTACACACTCACACACTTTCGCACTCACGCACTCCCTCACACCTTCGTGCGCTCCCTCTCTCACACACACGCGCTCCGTTACACACTTCCTCCCTCGCACACACCCTCACTCCCCGACTCTCCCTCACACACGCGCTCCCTCACTCACACACTCCCGTGCACACTCACACACAGCCCCTCGCACTCCTTCGCGCACTTCCCCACACGCACGCACACTCCCTCGCACACGCACACGCTCCCTTGCACACTTCCTCCGTCGCACACGCACTGCCGCCCTCTCGCGCTCCCTCCCACGCCCCAACGGCCGCCAACAAAGCGGCGGCGGGACGCGGGCGGCGCGCACACACGGCGCTCACACAATGCTGCGCGGCACCTACCAGGCGGGCAGCCTCGGCCCAGGTGCGGTCCTTCTTCTTCCTCTTGTCTTTCATGTTTGCATCTCATTGAGGTGGTTCGGTGGGGGGCGGGGGCGGGGGGAGGGCGGACCGGGGGGACGGGAGAAGGGAGGGAGAGGGGGGGGCCCGGAGGGGTTCCGCACGGACAATGATACGTTGACACCGAACGCCGGAGCCCCCGGGGCGGGAGGGGCGGGGGCGGAGGAGGAGGCGGAGGCGGGGGAGGAGGGGGGCCGGGCCGGCTCGGCTCCCCGCCGCGGCGGCTCAGCTGACAGCTTGAGGGATGCTCCGCTACGCTCACAACAATGCACTATGACGTCACGCGGGGGAATGGCGCCCGCACCAAACGTCCCCCCGCCGCCGGCGGCCGCCCTCGCGAGGAGGCCGCCCGAGAGCAGAGCGCGCCCGCCGCCAAGCCTCGCGAGAGCGGCCGCGGCGCCTCTCTCCCCCCTGGGCCGGGGGCGGCGGGGAGGGGGGCCGGACTACAACTCCCGTGGTGCCGCGCGGCGGGCGGACGGGGCGTCTCCCCAGGGACGCGAAGGGCGCTGCCGGGGCGGGGTCGCCGGGGTCGCTCGGTACCCGTTGGCGCCGTCCCGCGCCCCGCGTCGCGGCTGTTCTCGGGGGCCCCCTCCCCTGCCCGCCCGCGGGGCGCCGCTCGCGGCGCTCCCAGCCCAGCCGAAAATCGGGGCCCGGCCCTTCCCCGCTGCGCGATCTCCTCGCTGGCGCCTACTCACGGCTCGGGGCTCGGCGGCGGGTCCGGGCGTTCCGGGCGGCCGGCTGCCCCGGGCTGCGGGTGCCTGCGGGGCTCCCGCCTGCGTCCTCCCGGATCCTCTAGCCGTGTCGAAATTGGGCAGCGGGAGCCCCCGCCGAGGAGGTGTGGGTTCAGGAGGAGCCCGTGGCTGCGGGGCTCCTGTCAGAGCGGGGAGAAAAGCTCCGTTCTGTTGCAGGATAAACAAAGGAGTTGGTGAAAGCGGGGTTGGTAAAAGCCTGAAGGATGTTCTCCTTTATTGGATGATTTAGGATTAAGATGCCCACAGCGTGGAAAGCTGTGGGTTTAACACACCTTCCTGAGTTACAGGATATTGCGGTGGGGGCTTCTCCCCTATCTCCTCCCCTCCCCCAGCTGTTAAACTATTGGGGGAATACTGCTGAAACATTTTGGTGTTTTTTACTTAGACTGAAATGAATTTCAAATTCTCTAGGCTTTGTGCATCCATCTGGTCAGTGCCCGTGCCCTCCTTCATCCCTCCCCAGCAGCACTGCTGGCCTCCACTGTTAAGACTATAATTTCCCATCGAATGCACAATTCACTGGAAAAACAAACAAACAAACAAATCAGTGCAAAGAAGCACAACACTAAGGCTGCTTTACCTAGAGGAGGATAGGGCAGCCCTAGAGGAAGCAGCAGTGGCTGCCTGATTGCCCTTGGAGGGCTCTGGCATTCCGTGGGGCTCCAACCTCATGCTTGTCCCGTTTTTTCTCCCTGTCTTTTACAGCTGGATGTGACCTGTGGAAGGTAGTTCACCACCACAGAACCTTCCCAGATTTCATAACTTATTTTCCAAATGAAAATAATTAGTGAAACAAAATTCTATTAAAACAGTTGCGTCTAGATTTAGTTTTGACTCCAGGCTGTCCAGAATCGACCAGAGGATTTGGAATTGCCTAAGAAGGGTTTGAGAGAAAAGTGTTGAAGCTGGACTGCTTCAGGCTTGAGTTTGCTTGTGTAACGGATTGAAAATCATTCAGTTGTAGGAACAGCTCTGTATTCCTTAACTTTGTTATTTACTGAGTATTTTTTGTCACCTTAGTAACGTCTAGAAAGGAAATGCTCACTATTAGTATAAATTCTTTGTCAATTCTTTGTTTCTTTGTTTTCTGCCTTTTATGTCTCTGCCCTACTTTTTTTTTTTTTCCCTTCCTTTTGCATTTCCTCGCCATTAGTAATTTCCTATTCCTTTATAACATAGGCTTCATTCACATCTCCCCCCGTGCCTAAGTTTTTAGTTGTTAACTACTTCAATAAAGCTGCCTTTGAAATACTGTCATTGTTCTCAATGTTGAAACTAGAACAAAACTAAAACAGCACAGTGAGGTTGATCAGTCACTCTCGTTATACGTGGCTAAACTAAATTTCTGTTAGTTTCCTGCCCATTTGCAGATAGGTGATGACCTGGTTGTTGGTCTGGTTGCTTCACATACATGACATGAACTGAATTTCCCATTTCTGAAGACAGCTTTGGGCTTGCAACACTGGTATTGGGCAGAGGAGGATATTTCTCGAGTAAACAGAAGTTTAGGGACCCTTTAAATCTTAGGGGGTTTTGGTGGTTTGATTGGTTTGTGCTTTTGTCTGCTGTAATCAGGACCACACTTTCTGGTATTTCTGTGGATGCATGTAATAGTTGTTATAGTATTGCATCCTTTCTATTCAGCTACTGCAGAAATGGGACCAGTTTCTGTGCTGCCATTGAATTCTTCTGCATCATTCCTACAACGTCCAGGTGCTCCTCAGTTCCTTTGGTTGTTCAAATGCAAATTGTTGGAAATCATATACTTAGTGTCCCTGACCTTGCTGGAGAAAGAAAACCATTTACACTGTATAATGTATCTGAGCAGAGAGCTAGTGTGCATTCTGCATGGTTTTCCTCATGATAAAAAAGAAAATGAATCCATGCCACTGCAATGAAAGAATTCTTTCTGCAAGACACGTTATAGCTGAATTTTATAAACACTGCCAGCATACTAGAGACCAAAGGAATCAACAGCACAGTGCGCTGCTGCTTTGAGGGTGTGAAAAATCATGTCTAACTAAGACTTGAAGCACAGCAGAAAAAGGTCAAATTGAGCTTACAGAAGAAAGCATTTCCTATTGATTATAAATAGTATTTACTGCTTGAATTAGATCTGACACTACAGGAGATTGTAACCATTGCTCTAACTGAACTGACAGTCACAAAATCAAGAGTGAGAAGTGGTGAACAGCATTCAAGCTGCAGCCCTGGAACTATGGCTGAAAGCTCGGCATACGTAGGGCATATCTCAGACATGATCTCGGGGAACTGTATGTGTACTTGTATGTATGGCAAGTGTAACTCTATATAAATACTGAAGAAAGATGTTAGATTCAAATATACCATTACATTCTACGTAAGCAGTATTTATGTGAAATTACAGTGCTGGATGTTACTGTACTGACTGTGGATAGAAGCAGTTATTTATTATGAATGCATTTGTGTGTGGTTACCTTTTCTCTCAGGATAATGTAGGCAGGCTACAAAGATAATACTGCACACTGGCTTCTGCATTTCAGTATTCAGTAAAATACTGCTATAGAAGTTCAGCATTTGACACATCTAGTGAAAGTACATGAAGAACAACATTGTTGTTTCCTGCATGTGAAAATGACTTTTGATACATATTGCTGAATTCCTTATTGTGTGCAATAATACTCCTTCCAAGTAGAAATCTGTAAACTGCAATAAGTACACACATTCATATTGGCTGCAGTGCTTCAGTACAACCAAACATTTCTGCAACACAAATTCCAGTTTCAGCTGTTACAAAAGAAATAGTATCAACTATTACATGGAAATACCAGATGTGCAGAAGGGTTTATTCACAGCATGAAAATTCAATCTAATGTGCCGCTATTACAATGGAAATTATATTTTCTACAATTGAATGAGAGATGCTGAGTCACAAGATAATTAAAAAAATAGCCCGGAATGATACTAATGAAGACACTGCATTTTCTGAATTAATTTCAGCACAGTGGTGACAGAAATCAAACTGAAGTACTTGTTTTTCTATGGACTTAAGAAAGCCAAAAAAAAGCCATTGTGATGGACAGTTAGCCACTTACAAAGAGTGCTGTATTTTCTGCAGAATATGTTTTCTACTCCCGATTTAGAGCACACATATTACCAAGCATTCAGAATGCATGAGGTTTGCAGCATTTCTGACACGTAATGGACTTTTCTCTTTTGTTCATATGCCATATGGCCCAGAATCAACATTCAGAGTTTTTCAAATATGCTAATAATTCTTAATAACAAGCTTGGAATCTAGTATTATCTGGATAATATTACTGTATTTGGACAGACTCCTTAAGCTCATGAAAAAAACCACCCTACAGGCTGTACTTCAACATGTCAATACAGGAGGGGCTGAAGCTGAATTCTGCTGAATGGTAAATGAGGTACACCAAGTAGTCTTTTCTTAGGCACAGCATTTTTTCCATAGAGCCTGAAAGAGGTCATAGAACACATGGAAGAGCTCACCTTTCTTTGGAAAGAATAAAAAATAATTTTAAAAGAGACAAGCACATTTTTCAGGTTTAAAATCAAGATATACTTGTCTGTTCCTGACCACTGAATGGTTGTAGAGCTGCTAAGAATAGTAAGTCATAAACCCCCAGCTTTACCCTGTATCTTGTTGTAGCTGATTGTCTACCAGTGAAAGCTTTGGCTGTAAGCAGCCAGTAGATCTGCTGCTCACTTCAGTGGTTTTTTTTCAACTGTGTAAAATTGTCGTTTCTTTTGCCATAGACCAGGAATGGCCAACTATTGTGAAGTTTCTTTCGCACCCTTCTAGCCCTCCAGAGGCCAGATAAAGGCTTAGGCTTCTTTTTGTAGCACTGCAGCTGACCTAACTAACCAGGGACTTGCTTTGCCATCCCACCAAATTCAAGGTGGTAGAGCAGGGACAGCCCACCAAACAGCCACACTGGAATTAGATTCGGATTAATTTCCTTTTCCAGGGAGCACATCCCTGGGCTATGCTGCCGTCATTTTTTCATACTATGAATATGGGATCGCTTTTACTCAAATCCACGGGGACAGTTTCTATGAGAAGTCCATTGTATGTGAACCAAGAGCATTTACACTGTATCTTAAAAGTGTGAGAAAGTAAACATTTCTTTGTGCATGCACTACCGAAGAGAACTCGCATCTGAGGCACCACACTCAGGCTGCACCCAGATCACACCTTCCTGGAAGTTC